CGCGAGGGGCTGGCTGGACGCGAAGGGGCCGACTAGGCGCGAGAGGGGGCCGTCTGGGCACCTGATCTACAGGAGCTCCACTGGCTGTCCTTCTTGCTCATTGACTTAGGTGAGCGGCCTAGCTATGCCCCGGTTCTGTACGCTGACAACAGGGCCATGATCCTCCTGTATCAGGAGCCTCGACTTGAGGGCAGAGCGAAGCACATCCAGCTACGGTACTTCCTCCTGCGCGAGCTACAGCAGTGTCGCTAGGCCCGCGTAGTACACTTAGCCTCCGGTGCCAACACTGCTGATATCTTTACTAAAGCGCTTGCGCCTAAAGAACATCAGCGGCACTGTTTGCAGCTTGGTCTAGTCCCTGTAGACTCTCACTTTCTAGGACCTTGATTGTGTACTCCTCTTTATATATATCTTTCAGACTGGCCTTGTGACTTCTCTTCTAGTGGCCCGAGTAGGTAGTGCTGCCCTGGTTTGAACCTGTCTTGTTTGTACTCTTGTTGACTAGTCTTCGGGCCCTTGTCTCAGAGGTTGGACTAGTAGTGCCACCTTGAGCTATGTGCTTCTTGCTCAGCACTACCCCTTATCTAGCCTAGAGGGTGTGTCAACTTATACATACATTTGTATGTAGAAGTTATAGGCTAGAATAGGTGTGTGTTCTTAGAGAGTACAACCCCAACCCTATATCTCCCTTGTTCTCTCTTCTTGCTTTTTATTCTAGTATTCCAACATGACATACTGTAGATTATTGTAAAGTAGTTTTTGTTTTTTTTTTTTGTTTTTTTTTTTTTTTTTTTTTCGTTTGGAAGCTCAGATGATGCTGTACAATTCGTCTGAAAACCCAGACCAGCCTAGGTAGCTCGTCTGATGGTCAAACGGAATTTTGAAACCCCGTCTGATTCTCAGACAGCCCTAAAACTTAGCAGGAACCCTGATCGTGGTGTTGAAAGTTGGTTTTCGTACTTCACTGTGTTTTAGAATGAGCAGGAAGGGTACTCTTCACAAGACCAGTGAATTCCAACATAACCTGCTATGATTTAATATTCGAGTATCAATGTATTGTATTCCCCCGTATAAAACACCCTCTGGTGTTAATAAAAATGCAAGGAAATTTTGGGTTGGGTGTAATTAAAGGCAAAAAAAATACAGCACCCAGGAGTTATGGAATGTGCATATGCATTTTTTTTATTGGAATTCAACTGTACTTGTGACAGGGCTTTGTTCTGAGCATGGAATCCCATTCTACTGTCGTGACCGCGTACCCAACGATTTGGCCCATCTGAATGCCACATCGTCAGCATAAGCAATTGATTCAGGGTTGTATGCTGCCAGAGCAGCCAATCAGCTTGTGCCGCAGGCAGGTACCTTGATGCCTCCAACCCACGCTGTGCCAGCACAGCGTAGGGTGGCGGGATCAACGGCAGATTCCGTCGATGCCCTCTCACGACTGTCCAGTGCACAGAAGCGCATCATCTGGATGGTCGTGGGGGGCATTTCATGGGCGGCGGGTACAAGGGAGTTGCCCACGTCCTTGCCTTCCCCTCCAACCCACTCTTGAAGTGGGTCTATCTCGCTCCGTCGTCTCATTTTTGCTTTCGATTCTAGGATGCCTTCAAGACAGCCCCTGCAAGGGCTGTCTAAGGCATCCTCTTTCTCCGTCTCTGTAACGTCCCCTCGCCGTGGCCTCTGGCTCAGGCTTGTCTCGCCTTCTGACTCGGAAGGGCCCTTATGGCCAGCAGACGTTTTTACATCGGGGATTCCGCCCCTCAGTATCCTCGCCCCCACCAAGCCCCCTTCGATTCTCTGCCAACGACGGCGCCGCTGCGACATATTCTGGAAGGGGCGATGCTGCTGCGACAAATTCTGCAAGCGGCGATGCCACTACGACGGAAGGGCATCATCCCCTGCACCGTTTCTGCGTGCCGATTTTCCCGGCGCCCGCTTGACGACCCCGTGGTCCTACCCTAAACCACGATGTCCATGCCCCCGCATCTCGAGCCGGATGACAAAGCGGAAGCGCCGCTCGTACAGTGCCTCGGAGAAGTTGTACTGGCTTGCCATGTTCGATGCTTAACCCAACGTCTCTGTGCGTGGGCTCGCAAAGCTTGCAGTTGTCCAGCCAGTGTCGATTCAGGATTGGAAGAAGGCTCGCGAACGCCTCCGTGTCGCTGTCGGTTGCCGCAAGCGCCTCGTCGGTGCCGGACGCCCCGCGAAGTACCCGACGATGGAGAGCGCCCTCTACCGACAGTTCCTGAGGCACCGTGGGAGGGGGCCTGCCGTCTCTGTCAAGCTCCTGCAGAAGTGGAGTCGCTCGTACATGCGCATACACCATCTAGACGTCGACTAGAGGGCGTCGAGTCGCTGGACGTTCAGATTCCGCGCACGCTGGGGTCTTACCCGTCGGGTGAAGACGAAGATCGGTCAAAAGCTCGCCTATGGTAAGCTATTGTCCCATCCTTGTCATTCAATCCCTTGCCGCAACTGTTGTTCGTTGACTCTTTTGATTGTCTTGCTTCTCGCTTGTTACCGCCTGAATTTGTTCTCCAACTGCTTTGTTTTCTTCGCAGAGATGAGGTCGAAGATCGAGAAATTATGGGAGTTTGTCAAGCAGATGGGGATTCTCGACCGGTACAACCTCGACCAGATCGTCAACCCCCCTCTTCATAGAAATGCCCCAGGGAAGGACGTTGGAGCACAGAGGCTCTCGTACGGTGCATGTGAGGACGGCCGTCTACGAGAAGGAGCGGCTCACCGTAATGTTGGCGGTCACCGCTTCGGGATTGAAGCTCCCTCCGTACGTCATCTTCAAGCGGAAGACCTTGCCAAAGATTCAGGTTCCCTCGGGTAAGAATTGCCTTTGCCTATCGCTCTGTGCATAGATTACACTTATGCACACCCTCTGACTGTTGTTGTGTCTTGTGATTGTTCCCAGGTGTCATCATCCGAGCCCAGCCGAAGGGCTGGATGGACGAGAAACTTGTCCAGGGCTGGACTACTCAAGTTCTAAACCCGTTCTTGCGCCCGCTGTGCGAAGCAGGGAAAAAGGGCCAGGACACGCTTGTCATCCTAGACTCGTACAAGGGCCACCTCACTCAAGCAGTCGGGCAGACGATGAAGCTGTGCAAACTTACCCGCGCGGTCATCCCCGGTGGTTGCACGCCTCTCGTTCAACCGCTGGATGTCGCAGTGAACAAGAGCTTCAAGGCCGGCGTGCGCAGCGACTACGGCGCGTGGTTCTAGCAGTTCGGCACTGACCTGAAGACAGTGGCAGGTGAGCCCTTTCCCAGTCGCTTCCCCAGTCGTTATGTCTAACCTTTTTGCCTATTGTTGACGCATTCCATCGTGCCCGTTCCCCGTCGTTTCCTCACTCATACTGACTCGTTCTTCTCCTCCCATCTTGCTCCCATCCCATGTGCAGGAAATCTGAAGAAGCCCCCGGCCGAGCTCATCTTGAAATGGATTGCTCGGGCATGGGAGGCTGTGCCAGAGGAGCTCGGCGAGAGCGGCTACATCAACCCCCTCTACGACGACGTCATCGACGTGGATGGGGACGTCACCGAGGACGAAGAGGCAGATGTGGCGTTGCTGGCGGCTGACGATGACGACGCTGAAGCGGCAACCGAAGCAGCAGCAGTAGCAGATGAAGAGCCGAGCGCAGACGATGCAGAGACATCATCAGCAGCAGCAGCAAGTGTTGATGTGTGGCCGGCAGAAGGCATTGTAGAGGATGACAACAACTGCTGGTGGGACGAGCTTGCATATGGGAGCGACGTCTAGATGTGGCATGCTGGTGATGAGGAGCCTGAGGACGATGACTAGAGCATTCACAATAGCATGAGCATCTGGCGTAGTGTAAGGAACTCAACCTATAGTGTAGTGTAGTGATTGAATTCAGGCTCTAGGCAAAGCTAGTAGGTAGGCAGGATTCAAGCTCCAAGTAGTGCCTCTTGCTTGTTCAGCAGTGAGTTGCAGTTGAATAGTGGCTAGGTGTCATCTAATTGTCTTGCTAACGTCTAATTCAAGAAGTTATAGTGCAAAAACGTAAAACAAAATGTTTTTTAACCTCAGGAGGGTGGTCAAATGGTTTCAAGGCCAAGGGTAGGGTGGTAACTAAATCCAGTTAAATTAAACACCCATACCTGCTCAAGCTACCCATGGGATCTTAATTCCGGCGGGTGTTTTATACGGGGGAATACGGTATGAAAATGACATTATTGGAGAATAGCAGCTTCTAGGGGTATATGAAAACAATGAGAAAACTTCAGCTGCTTTTTCTTGATGTAACATAGGTAATGCTTAACGAGTTTTCTGAACTGGCGAACAAAGCTCCAAGCATACCAGCTGCTTACGTGTTTCCAGTACTTTTCTGCAGTCCCTTATCCATCCTCCACCCGCCACGTCGCAGAAACAGTCGTGGTTGCTTCCAGCCACGTTGCCAGATGAGTTGCCGATGGGGGTCTGAGGGCGTGTGCTGAATCGCCAACTTTTTTTCGCACTTAGGACACGCTCTTACCACATCCGTTCTGTGATGATCCAGATCCCTTTTAGTATTGCAGGTAGTCACAAGGGAAAGGAAGAGGAATGGGCACAAAGCTACAAATCGACCGAAGGTTTGACGTTTGGGCATTTCCAGAGGCACAACACTGTAATGGTATACATTCTCGAAACCATTCTGCGCTTTTCCTGGCGAAGCGGAAATGACATTAATTAGGGCGTGTTTCAATCGTACGCTTGCTTGCAAGGTTGGTTATTTCCCGAAGATTTAATATCAATCTGAAACGGTTGGGTAGGGTTGTGAGTGAAAAGTACGTTTGGGGAATTCCTGAGCGATCCCAATTCCTGAGTCACCACCATCAAACATCAGCAGTTCGAAGAATTTTGCTTCCCCCATCTCACTCAACCGCGCCAGCCTTTTCCCCTTCCCCATCCCGCGAACCCCGCGACCCCCCCACCCCACGCCCATCTCACCTCACCTCCCCCTGTTTTTCCTCTCCCTCTGCGCGTCTGCTGCACCCCCCCTTCCCTTTCTCTCTCACCGCCACGAGCCTCGCATCCCAAACCTCTCGTTCCCTTCACCCTCGAACCCTACTTCACCTATCCCCTTCGCTTCGCGCCCGTCGTCCCACCATGGCGGCCTCTCTCGCGTCCTCCTTCGCGTCCTCCGTCAGGCTCGCGCCTGCCTCCTCCTTTCTTTCAGGAGAGCGCATTCCGCAGCCCTCTGCTGCTGCCAGCTCCACGCCCGCAGCCGTTAGCGCCAGCCCCGTCGTCCGCGTCGTGGCCGTGCGGAAAATCCAGGGGACCGTCGTGTCGACGGCCAACGACAAGACGGCCGCGGTCGAGGTGAAGCGCATCTACCCGCATAAGCTGTACAAGAAGCGGATCGCCAGCGTGAAGCGGTACCAGGCGCACGACCCGGAGAACCAGTGCCGCGTGGGTGACTTCGTGACTCTGGCCAAGTGCGCGCCGGTGTCCAAGACGAAGAAGTTCGTCATCATGGATATCCGGACGCCTCGCGTCGCTGGCCAACCGTCGGGCCTTCCGCCGCTGCAGTCGGAGGCTGCCGCTCAGTCGTGAACGCGAGGTAGGAGGAAAGGAGGGTTGGAGGAGAGAAACGGTTGTTTCACTGGCGCAGTTCTAACTGGCAGCTTTCTTTATTGGGGCTTAAGTTTGGCGGTTCAGCGGTTGACACTACGGAGGAGGGTTTTAGGCAGGTAAGGTTGGCTGAGCTAGTGAGCGGATTCGGTCACGTTTTTCGATTCAGTCATCAAGACCATTGGTCGCACAGCACAGAGTTTATACGGAGCACAGGGATGCGGACTTCAGCTTGACTAGGCCGCGTTAAGGGGTTCAGGGAAGGACTGGGGCCGGAACACGGCGTGTATTATCAGAGGCGGTGCCTGCTCTTGTAGTCCTGAGTAGGTGACAATAGACCGTCAGAGGACGAGTCCACACGTTATTGTCTCGATTCATAACCGATAGTATGGTGTCAGGTTCACGCATGACGAGGATTGCCCTTGGGTGTTTTCGACATTATGCGGAATGATTCGTTTAGGAAGCTCCGGTGTGTCAGTCCTGTCACATGCTGTCGTCGCTGTCCGTAGTGCTTCGCGCCGTATCGAACCAATGCACGGTGGAGTACCGGCCGTTCCATCGGTGCTTCGCACCGTATCGTATACCGGCCATTAAACCCTTGCATCGCCGGGGTCCTCATTTGAATAGCTAGTTACCCTTGGTCTTTACGCATATCGCATGCCATTCATCCATACTACCCTTATCCTCCCTCTCTCTTTAATCACCTCGCCTCTCTCTCTCTCTCTCTCTCTCTCTCTCTCTCTCTCTCTCTCTCTCTCTCTCTCTCTCTCTCTCTCTCTCTCGCTCTCTCACTCTCTCACTCTCTCTCGCTCGCTCGCTCTCTCTCTCTCTCCCTATCTCTCTCTCTCTCGCTCTTCTCGCTCTCTCTCTCGCTCTCTCTCTTTCTCTCTCTCTCTCTCTCTCTCTCTCTCTCTCTCTCTCTCTCTCTCTCTCTCTCTCTCTCTCTCTCTCTCTCTCTCTCTCTCTCCCTATCTCTCTCTCGCTCTTCTCTCTCTCTCTCTCTCTCTCTCTCTCTCTCTCTCTCTCTCTCTCTCTCTCTCTCTCTCTCTCTCTCTCTCTCCCCCTCTCTCTCTCTCTCACCCCTCCCCCTCTCTCTCTCCCTCCCCCTCCCCTCCCCCACTCTCTATCCCCCCCCTTCTCTCTCTCCCTTCCCCCACCCCCTATCTCCCCCCACCCTGTCTCTTTCTCTCTCCCTTTTTTCTCCCCCACTCTCCACCTACCTGTCTATCCCCCTCTTCCCCTCCATTCTCTTCAATCTCGTTGTCGGCTGTTGAATAACCCCTCACCCTCCTCTTCTACTTCTTTTCCTCCTTCCCGGTTTCCCTCTTCCTCTTCTCCCTCCCCCTCCGTTGGAGATTGGTTTCAGATGGAGAAACAGGGACGCAGTTGCGGTTTGAGAAGTCTTGGTAGTGTAATCCTTTTCTGAGCACCAGTTTATATTGTGTCAGTGGAGCAGCTTGTAATGCAGCCAAGTAAAGCACTATTCTTTGCTTCCAGAGTTATAGATGGACTGCAGAGCAGGCAAACGGCTTTCAGATTTCCATCCCCCCTTCTCACTGATGTCTAATCTTCGCCACCTACTGGTTGCAGGAAGTTGGTAGGGTTTTTAGTGTAAGAAAATGATACCGAACAAAGAATGAATTACAGTATCAATAGTGTCGTTCCACAAGAGTGCTTTGGGTTTTCTCTGTTTTTCATGTAGGCAACGAGGTGGAAGAGCATGCCTTCGCCAAAGCTACAGTTGGACAACATGACACACCATTCCGTTTCTAGGCAAAGCTATGGGAGGGCCTATGGGCTCATCAACCCATCCCTCATTCTCACTGTCACTATCACTATCAACCCCCCACGAGTCTGCAGCAGCTGTGACAGATGCACTTCCCAGGCCTTGCCCCTGAGATGCTGGCCGCCTGGAAGTGTTCCGTGATGGAGAAGGGGATGAGGAGGATGAGGAGGAGGGGGAGGATCGAGGAAGCAGGGCAGCGAGGGAGGATAGAGTGCGGAAGTCCGGGAGAAGGATCTCGCACATGGCTCCTGGCTTGTGTGGCTCGTGTGGCTGGAAGAGAGCATAGAGGCGACCAGCACAACCCAGAAGGTGCTGCAGCCTTCCAAAATCAGCAGCAGCAGAAGCAGTAGTGGAAGCAGCACCGACAGCAGGAATGGGACCAGATCCAGCCGAACTGGAAGCGGCACGGAAACCAGCAGCAGCATCAACAGCAACACTGACCTCAGCCGTAGAACCAGCAGAAGCGGGCACGGCAGCAGTAGCTGCACCGCTGCTGGCAACGCCTGGGGCAAGCGCAGCGGCGCGCATGCGGAACGGTGGAGCGGGAGGGCTGGTCTCCTGAAAGGCATTGCCGTAGCAACCCATGGCACATGGATAGTGGAACTGGGGGGGGGGACGAGGAGGACGAGGAGGACGAGGAGGGCGGGAAGGGGGAGGAGGAGCGGGTGGGAAGGCATGGACCCATTTCTGTTGCAGGTGGTTGAAGACGAGGAGAGAGAGGTTGGGGTCTAGGGAGCAGAGCACGGAGTAGGTGGCTGGTGCTGTCTGCTCTGGTGTTCTGATAGGCGAGCCTGCTTCTTGTGATGTATGAACAGGTGGAGTGGGTGATGTCTGGCTGGCTGTGCTGCCATGTGCTCCTACTGAATCATTTTCTGGTTCTGGCTTCACAATCCCATCTGCTACAATCCCATCTGCTACAGTGCCACCCGCTTCAGTCACATCTGCGACAACCACATCTGCCATGTGTGTTCTCGTCCAGATGGCATGGATGGCATCAGACTCCTCCAATGCCCTCCACATCACAGGGCTATCACAATCAAGCTCCAGAATAGATCCTTCCGGTATCATATCGCTGCTGCTGGTGCTGCTTCTGCTGTTGGTGCCGTCACCACTGCCATTGCTGCCTCTGCCTGCACCCCAGTTACCAGCCCCAGCTGGTCTGCCCGCACGCCGGTTGAATCCCCACAGGTTGACGGCAAAGTATGGCGATATGTGCTTCCTCACAAGCACCCGGGCACCAAGAGAAAGGGAGTTGAGCCGAGGGAAGTGGTAGCACTGGCTGCTGCTGCTGCTGCTGCTGCTGCTGCTGCCCTGGGTGAAACCACACCCACTCCACATGCTGCTCGTGCTGCTGCTGCCACTGCTATTAGAGCCACATCTGATACTAAAACACTCGTTATTGTCACATTCGTCGGCACCGAACCCAGCCGTCGGCATCTCCATGCACATCGTGCACACCCCGAGGAACGGGTGGCGCAAGTGGCTGCTGGGAGAAACACTGCCACGTGGCAAGCAGAGAGCAGCTCCAGAAGGTGAGCTGTCATGGGGACCGTTCTCAATTACCCCCGTTTCTGAAGGGCGAACCATGCCTTTGCCACATGCCTTGGTGGAATCTCCGTGGGGAATAAACGGAACAGGACACCCTCCTGTGACCACAAGGCGATTCTCCAGGCCCACGACCACTGGATCCAGCCTAGGAAGCAAGCACGGGGGTTCGAGAACGAACCACGCGCCCAAGTGCCAGTAAAAAACGGACACGTGGTGGACGTGCGTTGGCTTGCCCGACGCGGAAGGTAACGCGCCTCCCACGATCGCGAATCCCGTTCCCGGAATCGCGGCTGCGACGGCGCCATAGCATGCGGGGTTGCTGTGGGGGTTGCTGGCGGGAAGCGGGGGCAGGCGACGCCACCTCAGGATCGCCTTGGTATGGCACAGGTCGCAGGGGTCGCATGGCCTGTCCATGTCGCATGGTGATTCGCTGGAGGAGTTGCAGAGGCAACAGGTAAACCACTGTAGTCGCGTGTCGGCTTCGCTATCGCCCTCACCCTCGCCCTCGCACACGCACACCGCGAGTACTGTAGACGGGTTGTCATGATCGCACAGGTGTTTCAAGACCGAAGCTGCGTTTCCGTTGAATAGCTGAGATGGAGAAAAGCCCTCTCCCTCGTCTTCCGCCACTCCCTTCCCCGTCCCCTTCCCCATGCCCTTCCCCATGCCCTTCCCCGTCCCCGACTTCGTCCCCCAGCAGCGCAACCGCTGCCCTCCCCCCGCACCTTTCCCCACACCCTTACAACCGCTTTCTCTCGCACGGGCGCGTCGCAGACGACCAAGCGACCGGCTGCGAAGCGCAGCCGCCCAGCTGCGCGACACGCAGCGCGCAGCCGGCAGGTCCCAGAGCGAGAGATGCGAGAGACAGAGGAGCGCCACGTCATCAGGCAGCCGAGGGAGCACGTTCCCCGAGCCGGAAATCACGGAGACGGAGCAGGCGCAGATTTCCGCGCTGCTAGGCGCTGGCGAGGCGGCTAGGTCTGCCGTAAGGTCGGCCGAAAAATAGGGAACGACTGCCGCCATAAAGAAGCTATGGTGAGTCGTGACGAACTGGTAAGAGGGTCACGGGGGATTTCGTCGCCAAAGAATTTCGACAAGGTTTGTTGCCGACGATTCGCCAGAAATCGACACGCTGAGCGGAGATACTGGCCGTAATAGTCGACTCAAACTAAGCCCAAGGCGGGCGCTGGCAAGTCGGCTGTGGTGTCGCCAACTGTCGCTGCTGCTGTTGCTGCTGCCGCTCCATAGTTCCGAACCAACCCAATCCGGCGGGAGAAGGAGAAACGAATCTCGCGATTCTAAGTCGACAATAACCACTGTAACAGCGACAACCTAAGTGGAGCGGACTTGACGACGGACCTCTCAAGTACTACTAGTAGTAGCAGCATCTAGACCGCTCGCGAGTCGCTTTCCTCTCGAGGCGGACCTCACTAGTAGAGCTCGACGGCTTGCGAATATCATAGAAAGGAATACAAGGGTCTTGAAGGCTGAATCCCCCACCCCTTCCCCCACGCCTTCCCCCAACCTCCCCCACCCCTGCCCAAACCCTTCCGCCTCTTCCCAGAGCATGGCATGAGGCGGCGACTCGCTCGAAGCCTTTGCGGCGACGAAGAGCAGGAGACGCTTGCATGGATAAGCTGCTGCTGCCGCATGCTCCTGCTGCTGCGGTGCGGTGCGGTCCGGTGTGGTGCTGTGCTGTGGGGGCCATATCGCCGCTTACTAGGCCTGATGCTTCCGCAGTCACTCGCTCAGGTGGTGACTGACTGTCCTCGCAAACCAGGCGCGCAGTTGCTGGCGCTGGCGCGGCGGATTCATAAGGCCGGATGACCGGCAATACACTCCCACCACCATCAGCGCCGCGCATACTTGCCGTCGGTACGGCGCGGCAAACGGTGTAGCGGCCGCCACGGCGGCGAGGCACCAGTGGCGCGGGAAGCAGCCCCCATCCCATCCCGAGAGTTACCCGTCATCCCCACGGCCTGCAGCAACTCGTCGTAATGTTTTGTCGCTGGACGGCACGGCAAAAGCTCGCGTGCCTGCCGCTCCAGACCAGTCCAGCCCAGCACATGCGCTCCCACCCCGCCATGCCCCATTACAGCGCCCAGCAACAGTTGGCAGTAGTACTGCATGTCGTCTGATGGCCGATAGGGCCGCATGCCGATGGGAATAGAAGCAGTAGGGGATAACGAGCACATGGCTAGAGGGGTCGCACGAAGGAGCACGTGATTCATCCAATATTCGATAGAGTCACCCGGTTTGTGTCGGGCGGCTGCGATTGTTTGCTCTGCGAGGTGACGCCAACACTACAGAACGCGGCTCGTGAAAAATGGAGTGCAGGGCATAATGGCGGTACGCTACGGGCAAACGGGACTACAGAGTTCCGGAGTTATTGGAGTGTTGTTTGATATGTTTTTTTTCATGGTCGGCAGCATTGGCGTATGCTGCGAACAGATTTGTTTTTCAAGTTTTGGTGGTTAAAAAAAATAACTCAAGAAATAAAAATGGCCTTTAACTTACTACTAGCATTTGATATCTGCATCTAATTGGTTCTGGTGTAAGTTACAATAGTGTAATACGTATCTATGCCTATTACACTATCAATTTTGAGCGGAAGTAATGATGAGAAATACGGTAGAATTCAATACCTCTGTTTTCCATCATACTGTATTTTATGGCGTATTTTTGTCGAGACAAGAATAGGCTATCGCTTCCCCAACTAAGTGGGGGAAGCAAAAAGCCTAGTTCATCAAAACAAAATTAGGCTATCGCTTTTCCAGCTCTAGCTGCGGGGGAGGGGGAGCTTCAAGCCTAATTGCCATAAATAAATTACAAACAAAAAGCAATAAAATTTGTGAGTTCCAAAAAGTGGTTTGCACTCATCACTTCCAGTTCAAATGACTGCACTCAACAAGAGAGATAAGAACCTTGCTTGAAGTGATAAAAACAATTTCCCTTTTTGAAATACACAAAGTGTATTACTGGTACTAGTAGATCAGTGACTACCAGGGCCCAAAATTGGTTTTAGGCCACTCTTTGAGATCAGAGTAGGAAAAAAAAAATGCCCTGACGGTCAGAGCTAAAAAAATTCTAAGTCTGATTTGGCAGGGTAAAAAAATTCGAAGTCTTTGCTTCAAGTGTAGAACTCTTTGCACCCTTTCTAGCCTTGGCCATTTAAGGAACATTTTACATGAATGAAGTGGGCTGCACTGAGGTGTGGAAAGAAGGGTGTAGCGGATTTGCGCGTGTTGGGGGAGATTGGGGGATGGGATGGGACGGAAAACGATTCTGGGGCGCGAGAGGGGAATCAGATTTACATGGGCGGCAGAGGGGCGGGAAAAAAACCATCTGCTCGTGATTGGTTGGGTGTCAGAAGGGCGTATACGACGTGACGTGTCTTGCTGTGGTGTGGAGGACTTAGCGAAAAAAAAAAGGTAGCGGGGGTGTGGTTGGGAGGCATGTCTCTTGTGGGGGACTTAGCCATTTCTGGGTTGCGAGGGGGTGAGGGAGCTATGACTCTGGCTACGACTTAGCCGAAATTGCTGGCTTGCATGGTGCGTGGGGTGGGAGGAATGACTCTGGCTGCCAGGGACTTCGTCGAAATTTTTGGTTGCAGGGTGTTTTGGGGGAAATGTTTCTGGCCGCCAAGGACTTAGTCGGAATCTCGGAGTTTCGATACCAGGGTAGTTTTCAGGACGCCCTGAAGGGTCAGGGTTCGGGGCCCCGCAACCCTAGTTTCGGCAGGGTAATATTTTCGTAACACTTTTTGGATCAGGGTAATAAATTTCGTAAGTCTGATTTTTAAGACCAAATGAAAAAATGCCCTGAAAAATCAGGGCAATCAGGGCATTTTACCCGGCTAATTTGAGCCCTGGTGACTACACAAGACGCAGAAAACTGTTTGAAACGGTTGCACTGAAACATAGATGCGGTTCAGATAAGAATGAATACTCACGTTGCTTTTTACTTGCCGATAACGATGCAAGTTAGCATCTTCAACAAGCTGAAACTCTGCAGGAAGTTAAAAAAAAAATCGCGGAATCAAAGCGAAAGAGTAAGATAAAAACAAAAAACGGGAACAAAATGGATCGGAACAAAGATTGAATGGAACGGGTAAGTAAGATTGAGATAGGAAACGAAACTGAAGGTGGCACAAGGATTGAAAGGAAATGACAATAGAGAAAAACAAAGAACTGAAAATAAAGGAGGCGGCGTACTCGGAAGAGAGAGATATGATAAGGGGGGTGAATGGAGGGAAGGAAAGGGATTGTGCTTACCGCGTCTTCAAGATGCGAACTGAGGATGCAAATATGGAGGGAAAGAGAAGTAAGAACTCAATGCAAAGGAAGAGGAAGGCTTGGAGTATAGAAGAGGAAAAACGGATGAGAATCCGTACCGAGTATCTAAGCTGAAAGAGACCATTTACGTTTCCTCTACTAGCTTGAGAAAAAAAACGAGAGAAGAAACATAGAGAAAGTACTAAGATACTATTTATACCGACTTGGAGTACTCCAACGTAGAGAAGAAACATGATGTCATTAAGCCACTATTTATACCGACTTGGAGTACTCCATCGTACAGCTGAGATAAGAAAGGCAGTACTAGCTGATGGCACGTTGCTGCCTAATCACCATATCTACCATCACCAATTGCTGGAAGTGGGGATCGAGGAGGAAGATTAGAGCATACGGCACTCATGTTTCTGCAGCTCTGAACCCTCGAGCAGAGCAGCTGCGCTCAAACAGCCGCGGTTTGGCAGCTCTGAACGAATCTTTTTTTTCTCGGTCAGAAAGTGCCCCATCGCACTGAAATTCGCGTAATAGTGTTACTTAACCAAAACTATCAATAGTGTAACTTGGAAATTGGAGTGTGTAACGCGTAATGCATCCAGTGGCGAGCTCGGGGGGTTTGCCTCTTATTGCCTCTTATTGGCGAGCTCGGGGGGCTTGCCAGTGCAGCTAGGCTGGCGTCATTGCCACGTCGGATTTTAATTCCGTCTGGCAGTTACGCGAGACAAGCCAAGCCTCGCTTCTGCACCAAAATAAAGCATTGCCAGGCGGCCAGATTCGCTCGCCACAAGTCGACAGTGGCCACAGTCAACACAACCAAACAAAATAAAAACGGAAATTCCCGACGGCTGGGCATTTGGCGGAAAGGCGAAAAAACATTTCAAACGTACACAAAACTGGAGACACATTACGAAAACTGGGCTACAGTGGAACAATAAGGAACAAAACTATTCAAAAAAACTGTACAAGCAGAAACAAACAGCAAATGAAACCGATTCAAACTGCGTGGCAAGATTTTAGAACAGTAACGCAAGACGAGCAACTTAAATACCAAAATTATATAATATATATGTACAAAGTCAATTGTATGTCCTAATTGTATTAGATGCATTAACATTATGATTTCATGTACTTTTATTAATGCAATATGATATAACTTATCTATTGAATGCGTACATAGTAAATGTATTTTGTTATATGTTAACAGATACTTACGCTTTTAAGTTCGATAACTAGCTTAAGCATGTATATTTAAATAGAAATAATATATCTATATAATGTAAGCTCCGCAACCCTAAGACGATTACGTTGTCTCTTGTTTATTTTTGTTTTCGAGAAATTCGTCTTGTTGTGGCGTTAACGAAAATTAGGGCCGTACAGCGGGAACCTCGAAAAGTTTACGAAAATCGTAACAGCCTCAAACTGCCCAGCTTGACCGAGTTGCGCAACGTGTAAAAACCACGCCCTAGACAACTCGATGTTTGTTTCCCAAACACGACACACAATATTTGCAGATGAATCGCAATTTGTTTCGTTACAAAACGTGGCGTTTCTTGAATGGTTGGATTTCGGATCCTGATTTTTGTCCACGATGAAGTGAATCCAGCTCCGCGCCTTCGTTGTCGAGGTCGGACCGATCTAGTTGTGTCAGAGCTCTTCCTCCAATCACAACGGTCACTTTTAATCGCACAATCAGGACTCTAATCCAAACAGTATCGTTGAAATCCGAACTCGGAGCGTATATGGTAGCTGCTTCTAAGGATAAACGACTTATGGTGTAGTACGTGGCATTGAATGTTATTGCGATGATCGCATATGATCTGTATAGTGTCCGTTTGCCGGGAAATCGAGAATTCGACGCGAATATAAGGGTTTTTAGTTGTTAGGTTACTGTTACTAGGACACTGTGCACTACAGTTATGGTTAGCGCACCCGGAGGAGGGTTTTGTCCCATTCTGAGCACAAAGGGGCAGTTTAGCGTTCATTCTAGTTATTGCGATTCTAATTTGACCACACGGCACATTTTCATTGGGTGATAACTGTACACACCGGGCTGCAAATTCGCCCACACTCATCCTTGTCTTTTCTACCCAACTCGGATGGCCAAGTGGGAGGTCCGGATTTCCATTTATTTCAGAATCATTGTTGCCA